TGAAGTGAACCTCAATGCCTGCTGCTGCTGTGTTCTCTGGTTACGCTCTAGGGAAGTGGAACCTCACTGCTTGCTGCCTGTGGTTCTCTGGTACACTGGGAGGTGACTCACTGCTGGTTTTTGTTCTGGTTACCTCACTTGGGGGGGGAAGTGAACTCACTGCTGCTGCCTGCTGTGTTTTCTCTGGTTACACTAGGGAAGTGAACCTCACTGATGCTGCCTGCTGTGTTCTCTGGTACACTAGGGAAGTGAACCTCTACTGCTGCTGCTGCTGTGTGTCTCTGGTCCTACACTAGGGAACGAGGGAACCTCCATGCTGCTGCTGTGTTCCTCTGGTACAATGCTTAAGTGAACCTCACTGCTGTGTTGTGTTCTCTGGTGCACTGGAGAGGTGCACCTCGCTGCCGCTGCTGTTGTGTTCTCATGGTGCATCTGGAGAGGTGAACCTCACTGCCGCCTGCTGTTGTGTTCTCTGGTGCACTGGCGAGGTGAACCCTCACTGCCGCTGCTGTTCTGTGTTCCTCTGGTGCCACTCGGAGAGGTGAATCTCACTGCTGCATGCTGTTTTCAAATGTATTCCTTGGTTCTTTTTTTTCTTTTTCTTCTTTTTTTTTTGTTGGGTTTATCAGGGTCACTGACCAGCTTACGCACGTTATCGAGCCCACATTCCCGATGGCGCTGGAAGTTTAGTATGCTTTTTATTTAGGCATTACACAAATATAGTTACACAGATATCATACTTAGCAGATTATATGTAAAGATTTGTTGACCAAAACTGAGCCATTAAATAAATATGGAAACAAAAGTTCCCCCTTGTATGTAGAAACAGAAAACTTGAAGTTTCAATCAGATCGGTGGACCTCTTTGTAAATCTAGCAGGGCCGGGACACCCACATCCCCACCCGAGTTCAGTAACCGATTCCCAACAAAACCGTGAGAGATTTTCAGCAGGCGGGAAATGGGAAGCTGACTAAAATTAGGCCAATGAACCAGGTGATCCTTCCTGTATATGTGCTCGGCGGGCATAATAAATGAGCGACAAGCGTTATCTGAGAGACGCGGGGGATTTATGCCGATACTCAGGCTACGAGAGGAGACGTTCACAACCGAGGAAGGCTAGCGCAGAAGAAGTCCTTTATGTTCCTTGGTGATGATGAAGTGACGTAACAAGATGTGAGGAGAATGTGAAAGACACCAGTCAAGTGCTAAGTAAGTAAGCAAGTTTATTCAGGTGATACCACAAATACAGTTGTTACATAGAATTATCATAGTAGCAGCATATGTGTAGAGAACCTGGGATAACCCAAAAAAGTCAGGACAGAGTGACTTATTTCCATTGGGGTCCTATTACTTATTATTGTAATTAAAGGTTATTAATATTTTCTTTATTACCTAGGAACTTGGAGTTTTACCTGGAGGAGGAGATTCCGGGGGGTCAAACGCCCCGCGGCCCGGTCTGAGACCTGGCTCATGAGTGGATCAGAGCCTGATCAACCAGGCTTGTTGCTGCTGGCTGACACGCAAACCACATTACGAGCCCACAGCCAGGCTGATCGGAAATGACTTTAGTGCTTGTCCAGTGCCAGCTTGGATGACTGCCCAGGGGTTGGTTGGCTAATCCCCTTATGTGTGCTGGGAGGCAGCTCTCTGAACTGTTTCGGGACCCTGACACTTATTGTATGGTCTCTTAACGTGCTAGTGACACCCCCTGTTTTCATTGGGGGGATGGTGCTATCGTCTGCCAAGTCTTTTGCTTTAGTTAGGAGTGATTTTCGTGTGGGCAGTTCGGTACTAGTCCCTCTGGATTTTCCAGGTGGTATATAATTTTGTATCTCTCCCGCCCTGCGTTCCAGGGAATACAGGTTCAAGGAACCTCAAGTGCTCCCAGTAATAGAGGTGTTTTATCACCGTTATGCGCGCACGTGACGCGTTCTCTGTACAAATTTTAGGGTCAGCCAATTTCACCTGCCTTGAAAGGTGCTGTTAGTTGCAAGCAATATTTCCAGCCTAGACTAGAAACAACGGGACCTGAAGAGTGTCATCATGGGCTTGGCCTCCATAGTTTTTGACAGGTTCTATATCATCCTGTCATTTTTCTAAGCTAGATGAGATTGATACAACTGTTTATGGTCCTTTGAAGGTGAGATCCTCCGACATTGTCACTCCCAGGTCTTTGACGTTGGTGTTTCGCTTTTATTTGTGGCCAGAATCTTGTTTTGTTCTCTGATGAGATTTAATTTCCATAGTGTTTCCATATCTGAGTAATGAAATTTTCATCGTTGAACTTCATATTGTTTTTCTGCAGCCCATGAAAGATTTGGTGATGTCGCATGGAGCCTTGTTTTCAGTGTCTGCAGTTGGAGATCTCTGTCATGCAGATTTGTGGTGTCATCGCAAAGGAAAGACACCGGGTTTGTGGCTGATCATCCTTGTCTATGTAGGATATGAGGATTGAGGAACAAGATGGGAGCGAAAGTTACTGTGCCTTGTGGAACAGAGCTTTTAACGTAGCTGACTCGGGACTTTACTCTGTTGACGACTACTCTCTGTGTTCTGTTAGTGAGGAAATTATAGATCCTTCGTCCGACTTTTTACGTGTATATTCCTTTAGCACGCATTTTGGGCGCTATTACGCCATGGTCTCACAATTGTCGAAGGCTTTTGCAAAGTCTGTATATATTACATCTGCATTCTTTTTATTTTCTAGTGCATTTAGGCCTTGTCAGTGACCAATGTTGAGACAGACAGGAGCGACCTGTTCAAAACCCCAGTTCCCCGGGTTTGTGTAACTGATGGGTTTCTAGAGGGGGTGATCTTGCTTCTTAGGCCCCTTTTAAAAAGTTTTTTTATGTTTGGGGATGTTAGTGCTATCGGTCAGTATTCTTTGCTGTTGCTTTACCCCCCCTTGGGAGGGGGTATGTCTGTTTTTTTTTAGTAACTGTGGACGACCTCCGTACCGCTCCCTTCCATAGGGGGAAAAAGGCTCGTGATAGGGGCTTCTTGCAGTTCTTGATGAACACGGGTTCCATGAGTCTGGCCTGGGGCGAGTGCATGGGGCAGCATTTATCGCCCGTTCGAAGTCATTTGGGGTCAGGGTAACATCGGATAGGCTTTTGTTAACCAAATTTTGTGGGTCTCTCATAAAAATTCTTTTGACTTCGCTTCGTCTGGGTTACGGGTTTCTAAAAACGGCATATTGGGATTGAGTAGCTCACTCATTTTTTGCTGTCCTTTTGTAAAGGGCCCATCTTGTTTAATAGGGGCCCCAAACTGGATTTGTTTTCGACTTTTATTGGGATAGGAAAGAAAACTTTGGGTTTTTTTCATTTCATTTAGGCTTTTAGTTCTTCCCGCGATTCCGACTCCCAAAGATTCCTTTAGCTTAGTTCGATGCTTGCTATTTCCTGACCAGTTCCCCTACGATTTTCAGAAAAATTGACCTCTTTTAGGCTCTGTTATTCTTTCCGTCGCCCGTAAAGGGGGCGCCTGTCTCTTTTTTATTTTACATCTACCCTCCTTTTTTTAGAGGAAAAAGCCTTGTGCATACACGAGTGCCACCAATTAATCTGTTCTAGGGGATAATTGGGTTTTGTGTTCTTAGTAATTTTTCCCAGTTTTAAACGGTTAGGACTTTTTTTACTTTGGGCCCCCTTTATTTTTGATTGAAGTCGAATTTGGTGAATGCTCCCCCGTGACTAGTTCATTTTCTGTCTGGGCCCACGCATACTGTTGGGGGGGGAAGGGGGGGGGGGGGGGGGGGGGGGGGGGACCTCAAGTTGTGCTCTATTATTTTTTGGTTTTTAAAATTGAATTTTGTCCAGAGATTTAAAAAAACTCGTGTGAGTGTGAGTTTTCATCAGAGCCCTCCCGGGGTTATTACGCACAATATTATTTCTATATTCTCCATTTTAGGTGCCTTAATTGAAATCCCCGGAGCAAGGTTGGGGGCAGGGCTGGAAATTTTTTCCCGACAGTGGTCAATTTTTTAAAGCTGTTCCTGGGGAATTTCTGGGATGTTTACCAAGGCTTGTAACTACCCCAATGACTAGGTTTTGGTTCTCGACCTTTACGCTAAAGCTTCCACTACATCATTTGAGGCATTAAGCAGTTCTGTGCAAACAAGTGACTCTGCAATGTACAGGCCAACCCCCCATCCTTTTGCCTGTTCACTCTGTCACATCTGTATAGGTTGTAACCTGGGATCCATATTTCGTTGTCCAAGTGATCCTTTATGTGGGTCTCAGTGAAAGCCGCGAACATTGCCTTTGCCTCTGCAAGCAGTCCACGGATGAAAGGTATTTTATTGTTTGTTGCTGGCTTTAGACCCTGTATATTTGCAAAGAAGAATGTCATCGGACTGGTGGTATTGTTGGTACTGGGGGGGGATTTTTTTTCCGGCATTAGTATCTGTATCTGTTGGTTTGGCATAAGTACAATTATTATATCATACATATAATTTTTGTCTTTGCAAATAGTACATTGAGATTATGTATTTACAATAATGAGTTGCAATGCAAAGAGAACCTCTATTATGCTTAGGCATTATGGGCCGACTTAACATTATTGGCTTTCAGACTACTTAACACTAAGAATTATGTCATAGTTGAACAGTAGTGTGGAAATTATTTAATTTCCGAAGCTATAGTGCCTAATAAGTGTTTAATGTGTTGATTTGGGTCAAAATGTATTTGTATTTTGAATGGAACCAACTGAGTTCCCGCTGCGCCTGCGCAGATGTGCGGGGGTGTAGGTCGAGCTGGGGCACGAGGAGGCGGGAGTGTTTTGAATGTAGTGAGGAAGCTGTGAAACATGGGATCAGGAAACTGGCGTTCACGGCGGCCTAAGGATTAATATAGGCCTCACTTCCTAATAGGAAGTGTCGTAACTGTTCCTGGTGAAGAGTGAGGGAACGTGATTTATGTGACCACCGTAATAAAGTGGTAAAATAAGTGTATAATAGTAGGACCGGGGGTGACGGGTGTGCCGCCATGGAATGTGTCCAGGGGAAATTACCCGTGAGTTAATCCTCACTCATCGGTCTCAGATCTTAATGGAGTGACCTCTAATGTGTATAATAATTATGAGACGTTAAATCGTCTTGTGAATGGTAATGTAATCAGTGATAATAACATTAAGTTAAGAGAATGCGGGAAGTGAAATAAATCGCCCTGCTCCGAGTGAACGCGTGGTTCTCGTCCCGAGGGTAGCCAAGTTTTATGGAATCACGACTTCTAAACCGGGACAAACCAACGGATACCTCGTCCTGCTGGAATAAGAACCGTGTCGGTGTAGCAGGACATCGAAATGAGATGGTGAATGGAGGAAATAAGGAGCATCAATCACCCACAGTTAAGTAACCTTTCTAGTTATAGCAGACTGATGCTGGCCAGTTAGGTATGTTTTAATTGGATAGGTTATGGGTGATCTAGCCACATCAAGTGACCACCAGAGAATATCTGGTAAGTGGTGGGATTATGTACAAGTGTTTTTCCTTGATGGATATATCCATGTGTAACCTACCCCCCCTCCTTCATTCAGTTAAACTAATATAATCTATACAGTCCACAGTTAATTAGTAGCGCCGTACCTGAGGGTGCTACCCAATTTATACTGGTCTCGGATAGATATGGATAGGATTGTGAGGGTCGAGGGGCCACCTGCAGTGACCAGAGGTGGTTAAGTTTTCTCACATGTCTACACGGGTGACTACGGTAAACAATATAGTTGCCATCTCCCAAGGAGATTACTCGTATGCATGTAATGTTGAGGTATGTACAAGTAATCACCCCTATAAAATTTTCCATAAGTAGATTATTAATTATAAGTGAATCTAATTTATATAAGACAAAAGATATATTCATATATTCAAAAATGTTTTTTTTTTGTGAAACAATGATTCAGTTATATAATTATATAAGCATAGTTATCAAACATTACGTGGAAATTATCCTAAGATATGTAAATAAATGGTTCAGAGAACCGACAAGTTGATAATTAGACACTTGTGCAACACTTGGGAATCTTTACTGAGGAAACGTTTCGCTACACAGTGACTTTATCAGTCCATACAAAGGAGAATGTTGAAGATGCCCATGTGTTGTACATGTGTCTTATTTATCCTAAGATAAGCCAAAAACGTCTGACAGAGAGAGAGACAGAGAGACAGAGATGTGAGAGATTCAATACGTCATCATCAGTTTCTTCTAGGTTTACGGAAAGCCTGTTGTTGCTGACTCAGTTGGGAGGAACAGTTGAAAACTCACCTATATGTGGTTGCAAAAGTCGAGTCTCAGCGCCTGACCTCACCTTTTCGCTTGTCTTTACTGGGTTCACTGTCTCCTGGTTTCGAGAGTATTAGCGCACCCCTTCTTAAAGTTATGTATTGATCCTGCTTCTAGTCACGAGGGAGCATTCACCAAATTCAACTTCAATAACAAAAACATAAAGTGGGACCAAGTAAACCAAGTCCTAACCGATATAAGCTGGGAAGATATACTAAGCAACACAGACCCCAACTTATGCCTAGAACAGATTAACTTGGTGGCACTCGATGTATGCACAAGGCTTATTCCTCTAAGAAAAAGGAGGAGTAGATGTAAAATAGAAAGAGACAGGCGCTCCCTTTACAGGCCACGGAAAAGAATAACAGAGCGGCTAAAAGAGGTCAATATATCTGAAATGCGTAGGGAAACACTGGTCAGAGAAATAGCAAGCATCGAACTTAAGCTAAAGGAATCTTATAGGAGTCAGGAATCGCGGAAGAACTAAAAGCCATAAATGAAATCGAAAGAAACCCAAAGTATTTCTTCTCCTATGTCAAATCAAAGTCGAGAACAACTTCCAGTATTGGGCCCCTACTTAAACAAGATGGGTCCTACACAGATGACAGCAAGGAAATGAGTGAGCTACTCAAGTCCCAATATGACTCAGTTTTTAGCAAGCCGCTAACCAGACTGAGAGTCGAAGATCAAAATGAATTTTTTATGAGAGAGCCACAAAATTTGGTTAACACAAGCCTATCCGATGTTATCCTGACGCCAAATGACTTCGAACAGGCGATAAATGACATGCCCATGCACTCTGCCCCAGGGCCAGACTCATGGAACTCCGTGTTCATCAAGAACTGCAAGAAGCCCCTATCACGAGCCTTTTCCATCCTATGGAGAGGGAGCATGGATACGGAGGTCGTCCCACAGTTACTAAAAACAACAGACATAGCCCCACTCCACAAAGGGGGCAGTAAAGCAACAGCAAAGAACTACAGACCGATAGCACTAACATCCCATATCAAAAATCTTTGAAAGGGTCCTAAGAAGCAAGATCACCACCCATCTAGAAACCCATCAGTTACACAACCCAGGGCAACATGGGTTTAGAACAGGTCGCTCCTGTCTGTCTCAACTATTGGATCACTACGAAAAGGTCCTAAATGCACTAGAAGACAAAAAGAATGCAGATGTAATACATACAGATTTTGCAAAAGCCTTCGACAAGTGTGACCATGACGTAATAGCGCACAAAATGCGTGCTAAGGGAATAACAGGAAAAGTCGGTCGATGGATCTATAATTTCCTCACTAACAGAACACAGAGAGTAGTAGTCAACAGAGTAAAGTCCGAGGCAGCTACGGTGAAAAGCTCTGTTCCACAAGGCACAGTACTCGCTCCCATCTTGTTCCTCATCCTCATATCCGACATAGACAAGGATGTCAGCCACAGCACCGTGTCTTCCTTTGCAGATGACACCCGAATCTGCATGACAGTGTCTTCCATTGCAGACACTTGCTGCAAGGCTCCAGGCGGACATCAACCAAATCTTTCAGTGGGCTGCAGAAAACAATATGAAGTTCAACGATGAGAAATTTCAATTACTCAGATATGGTAAACACGAGGAAATTAAATCTTCATCAGAGTACAAAACAAATTCTGGCCACAAAATAGAGCAAAACACCAACGTCAAAGACCTGGGAGTGATCATGTCTGAGGATCTCACCTTCAAGGACCATAACATTGTATCAATCGCATCTGCTAGAAAAATGACAGGATGGATAATGAGAACCTTCAAAACTAGGGAGGCCAAGCCCATGATGACACTCTTCAGGTCACTTGTTCTATCTAGGCTGGAATATTGCTGCACACTAACAGCACCTTTCAAGGCAGGTGAAATTGCTGACCTAGAAAAATGTACAGAGAACCTTCACGGCGCGCATAACGGAGATAAAACACCTCAATTACTGGGAGCGCTTGAGGTTCCTAAAACTGTATTCCCTGGAACGCAGGCGGGAGAAATACATGATTATATACACCTGGAAAATCCTAGAGGGACTAGTACCGAACTTGCACACGAAAATCACTCACTACGAAAGCAAAAGACTTGGCAGACGATGCAACATCCACCCAATGAAAAGCAGGGGTGTCACTAGCACGTTAAGAGACCATACAATAAGTGTCAGGGGCCCGAGACTGTTCAACTGCCTCCCAGCATACATAAGGGAGATTACCAACAGACCCCTGGCAGTCTTCAAGCTGGCACTGGACAAGCACCTAAAGTCGGTTCCTGACCAGCCGGGCTGTGGCTCGTACGTTTGTTTGCGTGCAGCCAGCAGCAACAGCCTGGTTGATCAGGCTCTGATCCACCAGGAGGCCTGGTCACAGACCGGGCCGCGGTGGCGTTGACCCCCGGAACTCTCTCCAGGTAAACTACCACTCCCCCGTTCTAACATCCATGTGACTTTTATGTAATTTCAACATCCATCTGTGTCCTCGCGTTCCCGTTTCCTCTCTCTCAAACAGTGTATTCCAGTCCACCTTTCTTTCTTCTAATGTAATCAGGTTTAGCTCCCTTAATCTCACTTCATCTTGCATACCCTTCAGCTCCGGTATTAGTCTAATTGTAAACTTCTGCACTTTCTCTAGTTTCTTGACATACCTGAAAAGCTGTGGGTTCCATATTGGTGCTGTATAGTCCAATATGGGCCTAACATATGCTGTATACAGTGTCGTGAATGACTCCTTGCTTAGGTTTCCAAAAGACAGACATGCATTTACTGCAGCAGTTTGTCTGTTGATGTGTGCTACGGGCAATATGCTTGGTACAATGTTCACCCCAAGATCCTTCTTGAGTGAAGTAAGCAACTTTTGCCCCGGATCCTGTACTCTGTCTGCAGTCTTTTTAGGCCATCCCCAATATTCACAGCCTTACAGTTGCTGGAGTTGAATTCTAGTAGCCATCTGTCAGACCAGATCTGTAGCCTGTCCAAGTCCATTCAGTCTTTCAGGGTCCTCACCTATTTGTATTATGCTCATTAGTTTCACATAATCTGTCTATCTCTGCTGGGGTTTAGGCAAAGGGGTCCACCTTTAATGTCAATGTAAATAACTCAGTTTACCTTATTCCTACTGTATATCCTTTGATTGTAACTACTTTTCACACAGTTGAGTTACTTAGCTTTTTAACTTTTAAGGTTTGAATAGTAAGATATTACAAAGAACATAACGGAAATGTCACTTTGACTTTTTAGGGTTATCCTAGTTATTCTACACATATGCTGCTATGTATGATAAATTATGTACTTGTATTAATGTGTAACTGTATCTGAATATACTAATCGTTCCGTTTCTCCTATATAATTCCCGCCCTGATGTGTGAAATATTTTTCAGGACCCGGACTCAAAGCTCACCAAGGCGTTAGGTTTACTGGCCCTTAACAACCCCAACAAAAGTGGAACACTTCATCATCTGCTATAATGTGGTACAATATTATTCCTTCCTTTTCCCTGGTTGTTGGCGCTCTAGGCCTCCCTGCTATATTAATAGCTGGCCTTCATAAATTAGCCTATGATAACGTGAGTATATAATATTTCTAACTGTTATTTTAAATCAAACCGGAATTTCTATTTCCAAAAAAACTAAAATTACATACACTGTACTTAATTTCTAGGAGGAAACTCAGTGTTTTTTATTGTTATTTTAGACCCTCAAAGATGATGTTTTAATGTAACATATGCTAGCCTTCAGTCTGCAATAAATGAAAACAGTTAATATTTTTGAGCAGAAAGACATAGTAACTACCTGGAGTTTACCTGGAGAGGGTTCTGGGGTTCACCGTCCCTGCGGCTCGGTCTGAGACCAGGCCTAGTGGTGTATCAGGGTCTGATCAACCAGGCTGTTACTGCTGGTCGCACGCAAGCTGACTTACGAACCACAGCCTGGCTGGTCAGGTACTGACTTTAGGTATCTGTCCAGTGCCTTCTTGATGACAGCCAGGGGTCTGTATAATAATAATATTTCAGCGCGATACAGTATGTTTGTATAGAGATGGGCGACATTTAGTTGTAATAAAGTTGGTAGAATTACCGACAATATGTAAAGTAAAAGGACACAAGTGCAACTAATGTGACATTTTATTGTGGCAATGTTTCAGCTTTATCAAGCTGTTACGGCTTGATAAATCTGAAGAGCGAAACGTTGCCACAATAAAATGTCACATTAGTTGCACTTGTGTCCTTTTACTTTACATTTAGTTGTGCATGCAGAAAGCCAATAGTTATGCAGAGCAATTTTGCATTGGTATTTTTGTTCAAATGCTGTTTTAAAAAATTATTTCATACTTAATATATGTATATTGTTTAGTAATGTCTCATAAATTATATCACATTTTGCTATTAATAATTTAATATTTGACATATTTATTTTTACACATATGTTGTTATGAATGATAATTGTACTTAGGTAGATCTGCACTTAAATAAACTTAATTCTTGAATAAATTTAATCATTTATCACATCTTGTTATTACAGTTGTACAAGCGAGAGCTAATCAATATGGACCAAAGGTTCTTGTTCTTGAGGGATGAGCGCCTCACTGGCAACGCTTACAAGGCAGTTGTGAGTCATTTTGTTGTTTCTTTCAGGTTAATCTTATGTGCTCTTGTCAATCTAGTATTTAGTATTTCTGAATTACAGTATTTGTGCGTGAATCCGAGCATTAGCACTTGAATCCCAGAAGTTGGAGCTCGTGGAACTCTCCAACGTATGGTGTCTTGCACCTACTCCAAGGTTATGGTACTGATGTCCTCATTTTCTGAATTGTTCTAACGACCAAGGTATGCTGGAAATTTGTAATTGATTAAAGCCACTGGATGGCGAACGTCTAAATTCACGTTTACCTGATGTTGACGGTCTTAATTTCAGTATGGTAATTTTTGTGACGGCCTTCATATTTATTTTGTGGTGAGTTTCCTTCCATGGTATTTATTATTTTGCAGGGTCTGAGGCAATTACCTGATAAGAGCCATCATATAATGATACCATAATAATAAACTGTTATAGTATCATAAATTTATGGAATGAAATCTTTTAATAAATGAAGTTGGCTAATTTGTATTACATGACCAAATTTAATTACATAGGGAATAATGGCTCATACACTGTAAAAAATTTATTTTATCACTATTACAAATTAGAGCTAAGCCAACTGAATGCCAAAAAAAATGCTGCATGAAACATTCAATTTTTTCGTTACTCGTGAAATACAGAAAACTACCTAAATTTGAGATTTTATTATGCTGTATGTAGCTGGTTCCCTCAAGGGAGGTTCCTTGATGCTGGTGAAGGGCTCTTGATCCAGGGAATTGGATCTGTGGTATGGTTCCCTGAATTGAGCCCGAATACCTTCCACCCCCCCCCCCTTACATGTGCTGTATAATTCTACCAGTTTAGTGCTCCCCAATAATTATGATGATTACACACAGCTGGTGTGAGACTATCTAATAGAAGTGTTCCCTTTTCTTGGATCAAACTTCAATGCCTATTTCCCCAAGTGCTGTATGACTCCTGTGGGTTTGGTACTACATACATTTTATTATCTACATGGAGGGAGATACTGAAAACATAAGGGTTATATAACAGTGAATAGGAGGCAATAAGGTTTGATCCAAGAAAGTGAAGGGCAAGTCCAATTCCTTGGCTCAAGAGCCCACCAGCATTAAGGAACCTTCCTTGAGGTGTATTCAGAAGTAAAGCAACAATCTTAAGACTCCAAAACCAACATTTGTTAGTAATACAGGTACTATTAACTGACCTTGTTTAGGCTTTGTTTTCTTGCATCACTTTTCAAGTACATGTAAAATCGGGGGAAGCACTAAACCTGTAGTGGTCATATGGGAAATGGGAGGTAATCAGATTTGGATCTAGAGCCCCTTAAGGGCATATACATAAATTTTGCTTGAGTAAACTGATGAACTAGATTTATAGTTAATGAAAGTCTGATATCCATCCTTCATTACTGTATCAAGCTTTAATATCTACCTCTAAAAAAATACATTAAAGTAATTCTGACATTTTTAAAGTTTAATATTTTTTTTTTTTTTTTTTCAACAATTCGGCCGTCTCCCACCGAGGCAGGGTGACCTAAAAAAGAAAGAAAATCCCCAAAAAGAAAATACTTTCATCATCATTCAACACTTTCACCACACTCACACATTATCACTGTTTTTGCAGAGGTGCTCAGAATACAACAGTTTAGAAGCATATACGTATAAAGATACACAACATATCCCTCCAAACTGCCAATATCCCAAACCCCTCCTTTAAAGTGCAGGCATTGTACTTCCCATTTCCAGGACTCAAGTTTCAATTTATTAAAAATAAAATGTAGTTCTTAACAAAATTAAACTGTCATCATTCCTCAGTAAGCATAAAATAATATTCTGTACTACACATTTTCACAGGAAGGTTTTTAAAATTAAGAAAAAGAATATTGTATAATCTGATTTCTAATTAAGCAGTTTCTCTGCAATCTTGAAAGCTTTAAAGGTAGTATATTCTATATTCTGAGCACCTCTGCAAAAACAGTGATTATGTGTGAGTGTGGTGAAAGTGTTGAATGATGATGAAAGCATTTTCTCTTTGGGGATTTTCTTTCTTTTTTGGGTCACCCTGCCTCGGTGGGAGACGGCCGACTTGTTGGGAAAAAAACAAAAAAAATTATTCCAGAAAGCACAACTATGCAGAAACAAGTGTAAGATGTAACAAATTTTCATGCCAGATGCCTCGATACTAGCGAGGATCTCCCGATACAAGCTATTTGATCTATCCTCCCTTGGATTGAATCCAACTGCCTCTCTTTCCTCCAGGCACCGTATGACCTCTATGGGTTTAGAGCCTCTTCTACAAACATATAAGATATTAAAAAATAAGCACTAAATCTATAAATCAAGAACTGCTCTTGCAACAAAGTAATGAACCATAATGATTCTTTACATTCTAGACAAATGTTTTGGAAGTCAACCTAATCCTCCTGCTGCAACAGTGTAGCTTTTTTTTTTTTTTTTTTTTTTTTTTTTTTTTTTTTTTTTTTTTTTTTTTTTTTTTTTTTTTTTGTAAGATGGGGGGCTTTAAGAGATGGCTGTAGATCAAGAATTACAGAATGTGAAGAATGAAGATGTGAGAATGGTAAATGGATTAAGAAAGGTATTACAAAAACATTAAAGTGATTTACTGCTGTACATGTGATTGATAGATTTTATTCAGATTATTAACCTAGAGGATTAGTACATATTTACATTGGAGTCCAATCCCATTTCACAGAAGGAGACCCACAATGGTCAGCTAATGCCCAAGTAACTGTTTATTGCTAAGTAAACAGGGATAACAGGTGTAAGGAAATATTACCAACGTCTCCACTTATGCCAGGATTGAATTCGGGTCCTTCAGACGAGAGTCAAAGGTGCTACCACTTGAGTCACTGGAAATAGTGCCATGAAATTTAGGTAATTTATAGGCAAATACATATAGGGAAACACTCAAAGAGATCAATATTTGAAGCTATGATTTTCCCTAATTCATTAATACAGTATTACATTATAAAATAGACAAAGGAAAGTAATAAAGAGAAGTTTACTATGGAGGTGATCTACAGTGTCAAGAACTGGAAAATGAGATAATTATTATATTCAGGATAGTGCTTAATCTGTATGGATGATTACACGAGGGAAAAAAATTAGTGCAAAGGCTGGACTCCCTTGTTAAAGAAGTTAAAATTGGTGCATTATTGTTACACGACACAGAGGTCATACAGCACCTGGGAGAATGGAGGCAATCAGGTTTTATCCAAGGAAAAGGAGGATAGGTCCAATTCCTTGGATTAAGAGCCTCTTGCCAGCATCAAGGCACCCATTTTCCAGCCAAGACAGGACTCGCAGCAATGGTTTCAAGTCAGAAAAATTCAGATTCAGGAAGGATATAGGAAAGCATTGGTTTGGTAGTATATTTGTGGATGAGTGGAACAAACTCCCGAGTACTGTCATATTATTATTATTATAATCAAAAAGAAGCGCTAAGCCACAAGGGCTATACAGCGCTGCAGGGTAGGGAAGGAAGCGAGGGTATTGGATGGCAGAAGGGAGGAGGGATGATCAGCAGGTTACAGAAAACAGTGGGGCAGGGGATAGTACGGGGGTAGAGGGTAGCAAGAGATTGAAGTAGAAAGGGCTGAAGGTATCAGAATTTGTGAAGTAAGTCAGTTGTTGTCAAAAAGTCAATGAGAGAGTCCGGATGAAAGGTGGGTCCATCAGCGAGAAGGGAAGGTAAAGAGAGAGCAGCGGAGCGAAGACGACAACAGAGGTAAATTGTGCGTGCTCGTTGATAAAGTGGGCAGTCCAAAAGAATGTGGCTGACTGATAATGGAGCTTGGCAATTCTCACAGAGAGGAGCAAGACGCCTCTCCATGAGATATCCATGAGTAAGACGAGTATGGCCAATGCGAAGACGGGAGAGAGTAGTCTCCCAACCTCGACACTGGTGATAAGAAGACGGCCAGTAACCTATACTCGGTTTAATAGATTGAAGTTTGTTGCCCGAGCATAGTAGACCAACGTTGTTGCCAACGGTGTGAAGGTGGGAAGATATTGCAGCAAAATAGTCCGTAAATGGAATACCTCTATAAGAAACTGGTAGGTCATGTACTGCTGACCGCGCAGCAGTGTCTGCCTGTTCATTGCCCTGTACGTCAACATGACCAGGGACCCAATAAAAAACAATATCTTTATGCTTGGTAAAGATGCGGCGTAGCCAAAGTTGGATACGGAGGACTAAGGGGTGAGGTGTATCAAATTTTTGTATAGCCTGTAAAGCACTAAGGGAATCTGAGACAACCACAAATGATGACACAGGCATAGATGCAATACGGATAAGTGCTGTAAGGATGGCATATAATTCAGCAGTAAAAATACTAGCCGAAGATAGTAAATGCCCTTGTACGACGCTGTCTGGAAACACTGCTGCGAATCCTACGCCGTCAGAAGACTTAGAGCCATCTGTTGTACACAGCAATGGCATGAGAATGAGAGTGAAAGTGGTCAAGAAAAAGAGAGCGGGAAGCGACCGTAGACAGTTGGGCTTTCGAGCAAGGGAAGGAGAAAGAAAAGACTCGAACAGCTGGAACTTCCCAGGGGGTAGGGAAAAGTGAGATGCTACATGTACATAGAAAGGTGGTAGTTGAAGAGAAGACAAGAGCGAATGAAGGCGAAGAGAGAAGGGACGGAGTAAACAGGGGCGGCGAACAAATAAAGAATGTCTACTAAATCAGTGACCATTCTATAAATGGAAGGATTGCGGAGATCATGAGAGCGTACATAGTAGCGCAGGCAATGGGCATCACGGCGATCGGATAAGGATGGAACGTTCGCTTCTGCATAGAGGCTCTCGACAGGGGAAGAGCGAAAAGCACCAAGGCATAAACGTAATCCTTGGTGATGAATGGGGTTAAGGCTAGAGAGAGTAGGAGGAGATGCCGCTGAATAGATCTGGTCACCATAATCAAGTTTCGATAAAATAAGGGTGGAATGTAGGCGAAGGAGGGTTCGACGATCAGCTCCCCATGAAAGATGAGCAAGGGTTTTAAGAAGGTTCAGCCGCTGTGACAAGTTGCCTTCAGAGAGGTAATGTGAGGTTTCCAGGATAACCTATGATCAAAGAGGAGGCCCAGAAACTTGACTGTATCACGTTCAGGGATACGGAGCCATAGAGGTACAAAGGATGATCGGAGATGACAGAGCGTCTAGTGAAAGTGATTTGGTGGGTTTTTAGTGCTGGAAAATTTAAACCCACTGTGGGTGGCCCAATTGGAAACACAGTCGACTGCATGTTGGAGAGAAACTGTAATGAGGTGACAGTCAGCGCCTGCACAGGCAATAGCGAAGTCATCAACATAAGAGTGATGACCAAATATTTGATGGAAGACTAGGGGCCAAATCATTAATAGCAAGGAGAAAAAGTGTTGTGCTCAGAACACATCCCTGGGGACACCTTCAGCTTGATAAAGTCCTGGGAGAGCACATTATTAACCCGAACAACGGAAATGCCTGTCAGTTAAAAAGTTCTTAAGGAAGGATGGTAGATTGCCTCGAAGGCCTAAGGAGTGGGCTTGGGCTAAAATAATTATACCTCCAAGTTGTGTCATATGCCTTCTCAAGGTCAAAAAATATGGCAATAACCGAGTGGTTATTCGCAAAGGCATTACGAACATACGTATCCAGCGTAGTAAGGGGTCTATGGTAGAACGTCCCTTACGAAAGCCATATTGACGATGGAGAGACTGTTGTGTGTCTCTAAATACCACACTAAACGTCTATTTACTAGGTGTTTTCCATTACTTTTGCAAACTGCACTGGTAAGAGCAATGGGATGATAGTGGGAGGTTTCATGTCCCGTAGTGCCTGGGTTTTCGGAAAGGGAGAACAATGGCGGATTTCCACAGCTGTGGAAGAACTCCTTGTGACCAAATAAAGATTGTAAAGGCGTAATAGGACTGCAAGGGCTGACTGATGTAAATGTTGTAGCATACGAATATGAATGTCGTCGGCCCAGCTGCCGATGATCGACAAGCTGAGAGTGTTGCCTCCAGTTCTTGAAGTGTAAAAGGCACATTATACTGTTCTTCTCTGAGAAAAGAAAAGTCCAAGGGTGCTAACTCTCTGGCAGACTTTGAGGAAAGAAATGAGGGGGATAGATGGAGTCCCTGAGAAAAAATGGACCAGATGATTGCCAATTTCATTGGCAAATCTAGTGGGTTTGCTATATCAAAACCGGCAACCCGCAGAACAGGAGCCGGGTCAGGAGAATATTTACCACTCAGTTTTCGTACTTTTTTTCCAGACTGCACTCATAGGGGAAGCAGAGGTGATGGTGGAGACAATCTCGCCAGCAAGTGCGTTTAGCATCACGGATGACACGGGAGCAAATCGCACGCTTCTTTTTTAAAACAAGGGAGTCGCTCTTGGTTCTATTGTCCCGGGTACCTCCCCATGCAGCGCGTTTCAAAGTACTGCACGAGACAAGCAGAGACAAAAGGGCACCATTTCTGAGAATGCCTCCCCAAAGTTTGGGGTATAGAATGAAAAAGCGGGGTAAAAAACGGGGGACAAAAGAGGTGTAAAGCTCATAAATAGAAGACGAAAAAGGGAACCTTTTTAAAAAGTTAGTGTGAGTAAAGTTCCAATTTGCCCATTAAATTGCCAGGGGGGTGCAAAGAGGTGGCAAAGAAGGGAAGAAAGAATGTTTGGGAAATGTCACTGTAAGTAAGTCCGGGAGAACAGACCAAAGGAAGTCTAATGCGGCGGAGGAAGCAGACTGAAGACGATGCAAGAAGAGTATGAGCCCCCAGGATAAAAATGGGTGTGAGTACCTGTTTTTTAAAACATGGAGGGGGGGGGTGGCAAGAAAAGCCTCTAACGAATTCCACGGGAATACAGTGAGACCCCCCCCCCAGAGGAATTGGTGGGCTTAAAATCACCGGTAACAGAACGGTGGCGGATGACGAAACAAGGGAAGGCAAAATCCGGAATGATAATCCCCGGGAAAAGGAGAGGATAAAAGAACAAGGAAAACCCCTATGTAAGTGGATAGGCTGCTGTAAAATGCAGTGAAGAAATGAACAAAAGCTGAGGTACGGAATTCAGTGTGTAAAGAAGGGCACTTTCATTAAAGGTCCCATCGGGAAAAGGGATCTGAAGAATACAAAAAAATTAAACCCTGAGATTTGGAAAAAACAGCAGAGTGAAAATTTTGGTTCCTGTAAGCAAACACCAACGGGGGGCAAACGGGAAGTAACATCTGAAGCTCACCCAATTACCCCTGAGGCCGCGTATTTTCCCTGAAAATAACCCATGATTGGCAATGAAAAGAAACTTAAAAACCGCGGGTAAGGGTTCCTACGGACTAGGGGGGGTTAGAAAAGTCCACATGGGGAGGCAGTGAAAAACTTCAAGCAGCGAAGGAACGGTGACTGTGAAAAAGGAGTTGCGCAGAGGAGCAGGGGAGAGAAAAAGAGTGGAAGGTGGATCAGTGTCCATTTGGTTTGGCCCTCTGAAATATTTCAAATGTTAAAGTGTTTCGGAATCAAGACGTCGTAGGGGGGAAAAATATTGGGGAAAGGTAGGGGGGGGGGTGAGTAAAAATTGGAACTGTATTGGACTGTACCAAGGTAGGGGGGGGGGAAAGGGGGGAGGGGAACGGGGAAGCTGGCAGGGGGCAGAAGAGGCAGGAACCCGGGAGGGGCGAAGAGGAAAAAATTTGGGGGGGAACAGGGGGAAGGCAGTACAGGAGGGGGTAACCTCTATACTTTTAACTGAGCCAGTGAGAGGGAAGAACCAGGGACAGAGACAGGGAGGTAAAAAGGAGGTAAATGGGAGGAGGGCAAAAGGGCCTTTTTTTTACTTTTTAGAATAGAGGGACGTTGGGAGGGGGTGTCGTACGAGGTCTGTCGATACTGAGGGTTGGAGAGAGACTCAAAAAGCGAGACTAGACGAGGGGTTGAAGAGGACTCTAGCCAACACAAAAAGGGTTAGATCAGGAGTGATTATGAGAGGAACCACAGAGGGGTGTAAAGATGGGGGACCCAAAATGGGGGACGTTTTTAAACACGGGAATAAGAAAAACGGGGGGTTTCCCTGGGGCGGAGATGAGAAACTGCCAGGGAAAGGGGGACCTTCTGTCTCTTTTTAGGTAACGATTTCCCGCCGTTAAAAAGCTTGACAACGGCGAGAGTAAAGGGGAGCCTCATGACAGTTAAGGGAAGAGGGGGATCGTTGCAAACTATTAGAATGGTCATCGGGACACAATGGGGTTTTGGGGATAGATCCAAAATTTTTGCTGGATGGCAAAACGCCCGCAATTTCTACACTGTTTTGGGTAGGGGTCACCTTTTTGAACTTTTAACCGATGTCCTGCATATAAACTGAGGTGGGATTTTTTCGGCGTCAAAGTAAAAACCACATTGCAGGTATCTTCCGCCCAGGCAGGAAAAACGTAAGGGTTCCTTGGGTTTGGAGATCTTTGGGGTTCCAGCTGTTCAAGACATGCCCCATGTCTGGGAAATTTTTTTGAACTATGGATGGGCAAATGACCCCTACCCCCTACAAGAATGGGGAATGATGTTTTTCAAGGTGACAGGAACAGTATCGATATGGGAAAGACAAGAGAGCCATGAGCCTGGGTAGCATTTTTGTACTAAGATCGCGACCGCTCTTAAGAGCTGAAAAAAAAATATCTTACCAACAGGCGTAGGGGTGCCTTGCCAAAACATGGCAGAAAGAAGGGATAAGGAAGTCGGTCGTAAAGTGAAGAATTTAGTCCATTGTTTATCTGAAAAGAGCGTGGAAAAAGGGATTGAGGACTTTTTCGATCGTTTCTGAGAAAACGAGAAGGTGGAGAAGTTTCATCACAGGTAATTGTCTTGGGTTTAGGCGGGGACCAGGTTGGGCCCCCTGGAAAGGGTCGGCGATTTGAAAATTGCCGCCCGTAGAGGGAGAGGCCCGGGAAAATAGTCAGAGGGGAACGAAGGGCCGATAAATCGAAGGAGTCGTCGAGGCCTCAGTACCTGAAGCAGGTGAGGAAACAGCACCGGCAAAGGTACAGAGGATGGGGGAAAGTCTGAAAAGTGGTCCAAAAACAGGCGGGGTCAGAACGGGGGCGGGTTTAAGAAAGGGCCCCGGGGGTAAGGGTTATGGACAGGGCCCGCCAGGTTAAGTTACTTCTTTCTTTTGTTTTTAAAAAAAAAAAAAAAGAAAAAAGAAATAAAAATAACAAAAAAATAAAAAAAAGGGGGGGGGGCCTCGAGATCAATAACAATCCTTGCATTTTACACAATAACTAAGACTGCAACAGTTACTAGAGGCAAATTTGCACAGCAATTAGGTCTTGGCAAGTTAAGTTGCACAGTAGGTTGATCCAGCTTCTGATAGTCCTTATTTGTCGTATGATTGCATCACAGTATACAGCATCAACAAATTGACGAATAAGACATGTGCAATACCTGGGTATCTTTAATGGAGAGCAATAATGATTACTCTCCAATAAAGATACCCATAGTATACCTGATCATGATTGTTCATTTTATTCATCACATTACAGATACCCTTATGGGTTTAGCACTTGGTTATGATTATAATAATATCACATTACAGAACTCGTATTTCAATAATGAGTACTGGCACAAGTAAATTCATATGCACCCTTCAATTCCTTCCTGACAAATATGTAAAAGAAATAAGTTTGGAAAATCAAAACTTACAAGCTAGTCAAACTGATCAGTGGATGATGAATATTGTTCAGAAAGTCACAGTAAGCCAATTAAGCACTTCCTATTCTCAGTCAGGTATATTTACACCTATTCGAATTTGGAAACATCCAATTTTTGCTAAAGAAAATCATGAATGTTTTATACACAGCAAAACGTTAATTCTAAAGGTAGTAAGCCAAAGAAAATTAGTAGAACTCTACATGAAAATCTTAACATTCATACAATAATGAGGGGCAGTTATATGTACAGTAGAAATTGCTAGAATGGAGAGTGAGGGGAAAGATTACTCATTTGTACAAAATTAAAAATTTGTAGATTTTGGAAAGCTAAGAATTTAAAATTAGTCATTATATTTCACTTTTGGGGAAACTTTAATTTTGCTGAAGAACACATAAGAAGGCAGTCATAATGCTCCACAAGTAAGGCAGTAGTCATGTTACCAACTCCAGTTTTATTTTAAAACATCTACAAATGATTGCAATTTTTTTCATAATTTCAACATAAGAATATCATCAAAGATTTAGGAGAAGAAACAAGAAGTCACAAAATTATATTTGAAAATACAGTAATAATAAAATGCTGCATAACAGTAACAGTTATATAATGAATATGGTATATCATTATTTATATGAATCCAATGAAAAAAATGTTAAAGTATATAATTTTCACTCTTAATTAATACAAACAAATATTTTATAAAAAAAATTCGATATATAAACAAAGACACACACACACACACAAAAAAAAAACATACAAAAAACACAAACAAAAAACAAAAATACACAACCACACACATACAAAAGGCAATAACTGCCAATATTGTATTTTCTATAAAAGCCCCAATTTTAAATATTTTTTAAACCTTTCTACATTAATCAACATGTTTCTAGCAGAAATAAGGCAATAAACTTAAAATATCTAGCAATTAACATTTTACCAATCACATAAGGGTACACTGTTCTCCTTCAGGTGGTTGTGGATGCTGGGCTCCAGCTTCACCAGGACCGCTGCTACCTTCCGTGCCCACCCCAGACAAGCCACCAGCGCCAAAAAGTGCAGACATATCAGGCAACACTGAATTTCCAGCTTCACTGAAATTCAGCATGGGGCCCATCTCACCAACAAGCTCTTTTGGAGGTTGACCCATTTCCTGCAGCTATAGAAAAAATTACATTCGTTGCAATCATTGTGGTAGATAAGTGATCCTATACCTGTTACCCAGTGGGTTAAAAATTTCCTCATTTCCTAGTACTATTTTTTTCAACACACTGACCTTTTCCCACTGAGATAGGAAATCCAAAAAATTAAAAATGCATTCACCATCACTCATTCAATCACTATTTTACCAGTTGTTGAATGAGCTACAAAGATTGAGGGACAATGCCTGCACTACTCTACAGTGCAGCCCCCCTGTTACTTCATATGTCCTTTCCTCTTCCTCCTCCTACTCCTCCCCAAGTTCAAAACTGAGGTTATTCAGCTGATAGTTGCATATTTATTTTCAAAGGGGCTAGAAGGCTCTCATCGGTAGGGTACGGGAAAACCCAGGATAAGCAGAATAGTTAGTACAACAAATGTAGATTCAGCTGCAAAAAAAAAAGAGAGACAGAGACAGAGACAGAGACAGAGACAGAGACAGAGAGAGAGAGAGAGAGAGAGAGACAGACAGAGAGACAGACAGAGAGACAGACAGAGAGAGTAAGGGGGACCGAGTGTGAGAGCAAGTTCGTGTGCGAAAGAGATAGATTGCTGGGAACTCAAGATGATTATTTCAATTTTATGCTGCAATATAATACTGGGCAAAATCAATGCTGAACATACCTGCTGCATACGCTGCAATATTTGCTCAAACCGTTGCCCTTTAACTTCATCAGAGTCACTCTCTTGTTCTTCATCATACATTTGGACAATCTGCCAGAGATACAATTATATATTAGTATTTACTAAGTTGATTTACTGGTATTCATAAACATTTACAGATTATAACAGCTTTCAGGTAAAACCTTAGACCTATAAATTATACCTAGATCACTAGTATTGAAAACAAATTATATTCAATAAAGAAAAACAGATATAGTTACAGAATGCAAGAACTAGCAACAGACCTTATCTTCCCTCTCCTGCTTGGGGTCTATTACCATGTCTCTCACCACTCATAAACATTAGAAATACAGTGGACCCCCGGTTAACGATTTTAATCCGTGCAAGAGGGGTAATTGTTATGCGAAATAATCGTTATGTGAATGAATTTTCCCCATAAGAAATAATGGAAATAAAATTAATCCGTGCAAGACACCCAAAAGTATGAAAAAAAAAATTTTACCACATGAAATATACATTTTCCCACACACAAAGAGAAGGATACATGCACAATAGTAGAGTAGTACATGCACAGTATATATTGTGCATGTACTACTCTACTAAATGAAGAATAAATGACACTTACCTTTATTGAAGATGCAGCAATGACTGATGAGACACTGTGTCCTGGGAGTGCCTTTTCCTCCTGAGTACTGTAGGTCCTGTTTGGCATTTTCTTCCAGAACAGGCCTTATCACACTGTGTATGCCACTACGATTCTTAAATCTCTCAAACCAACCTTTGCTGGCTTTAAATTCACCAATATGAGCACTAGTTCCAGGCATTTTTCCCTGTTCACCTGGGTGTTAGTCGACTGGTGTGGGTTGCATCCTGGGAGACAAGATTAAGGACCCCAATGGAAATAAGTTAGACAGTCTTCAATGACACTGACTTTTTTGGGTTATCCTGGGTGGCAAATCCTCTGGGGTTAATTGTTTCTTGGTATTCTCAATAAGCCACACCAACAACGGTGCTACAGCAGCAGCAGCAGCTGACGGTGGTACAGCAGCAACAGACGGTGGTACAGCAGCAACAATGCTACAGCAGCAGCAGACGATGCTACAGCAGCAGCAGCAGCAGACGATGCTACAGCAGCAGCAGCAGCAGCAGACAATGCTACAGCTGCAGCAGACGATGCTACAGCAGCAGCAGACGATGCTACAGCAGCAGCAGCAGCAGCAGCAGACAATGCTACAGCAGCAGCAGACTGATGCTACAGCAGCAGCAGCAGCAGACGATGCTACAGCAGCAGCAGCAGCAGCAGACAATGCTACAGCAGCAGCAGACGATGCTACAGCAGCAGCAGCAGCAGCAGACGATGCTACAGCAGCAGCAGCAGCTGACAGTGCAGCAGCAGCAGCAGCAGCAGCTGTACCACCAATAGTAGCGATACTTATCAATGATCTTTTTCTTCTTCTCTATTGTAATTCTCACCCTTATTGCTGTAGGGTTGGCACTAGAAGCTTTCTTGGGGCCCATGGTCACTTATTTTCCAGAAAAAGCACCGAAAACACTGTAATAATACGAAATATTCCGATTGTATGCTTGGATGTTACCGCGGAGGCTGGCTGGTAAACAATGCCACCGGCGGAACATGTGAGCGTGGCTCAGGCCGCACATTGGACGCGTCTCAGAGGAAAATCGGTAAGCGGGTTTTTAAGCGGTATGTGAGGCAAAATTTTTGCAATTAAAGTAAGCGGTATGCGAAATAATCGCTATGTGATGCCATCGTTATGCGGGGGTCCACTGTAATGTCCCCTTCAGTGGCAGCTTGTGTATAGGCACTGTGGAACTGCAGCACCCCCTATTTTCACTGGATATTATTGATAACATTCAATATAATGAGGCTTTTTTCTTTAATTCTTTCTTTATACTTGTACATATAATCTTTAAGCTTAATGTCAGTAGCCATCCCCCAGTACATGAAAAACTTACAAAAATCCTTGTATGGAATTGTGTGCTTCACAGTTCCAGCGACTCAAGTGTTTGGCTGTTGTGCGTTTGCACACACGTCCAATATAAGACGCAGCACACTAGGTAGAGAGAGCACTGTCACTGATGCAGTGCTGACCCTGTTGTACAAGTGTAAGGTAGTGTTTCTTTTTGACTCGGCAATGTGTGTTGTGCATAACCCTTTGACTGTTTTGGTCGTATATATACGTCTTATGAGGTACCGTGTTTGATGTATATATACTCAAATTCTAGCGGCTTCAAATCAAGCAGGAGAAAGCTGGTAGGCCCACATGTGAGAGAATAGGTTTGTGTGTCAGTGTGCACCATATAAAAAAAATCCTGGAGCATGCAGTGCATAATGAGAAAAAAAATTTTTCATTAAAATGCCGACTTTGTGGTCTATTTTCATATAGTATTTATGGTTCTATTCTCGTTTTCTTGGTCTCATTTGATAGAATGGAAAACATATTATAGAAATAGAGGTGATTTTGATTGGTTTTACTATGAAAAGAACCTGGAAATGGAGCCAAAACTAGGGAAAATGTTTGATTTTTGCAGATGTTCAAAAGTAAACAAATGTCATTGTCCAATAAATGTCCAATTAGCCATTCTAATATGCAGTCATGAATGGGTTGACATTACATATATTTGTACAATTATTATAATATTGCAGTAGTCTGCATAACAGTAAATCTTCTATTTTTTGAATAAAAATTTGAAGTAGAAAGCAGGCGTAATATCAGAGGAGCCTGGAGACATGACTGATGAACAAAGAAAATGCTATTTTAGAGCCAGAATGTCTGTGTTGTTCATTCTCGACCTTATTTTGAAATTGTCATATTTTTTAATTTTTGTGAAATTGGCCAAATTGCAAATTTCTGATCACGTTATTGGGTAATTGAAATTGGTAAATGGGCAGTTTCTTGTACTCAATCGATGAGGATGAGGAACAAGATGGGAGCGAGTACTGTGCCTTGTGGAACAGAGCTTTTCACCATAGCTGCCTCGGACTTTACTCTGTTGACGACTACTCTCTGTGTTCTGTTAGTGAGGAAATTATAGATCCATCGACCGACTTTTCCTGTTATTCCTTTAGCACGCATTTTGTGCGCTATTACGCCATGGTCACACTTGTCGAAGGCTTTTGCAAAGTCTGTATATATTACATCTGCATTCTTTTTGTCTTCTAGTGCATTTAGGACCTTGTCGTAGTGATCCAATAGTTGAGACAGACAGGAGCGACCTGTTCTAAACCCATGTTGCCCTGGGTTGTGTAACTGATGGGTTTCTAGATGGGTGGTGATCTTGCTTCTTAGGACCCTTTCAAAGATTTTTATGATATGGGATGTTAGTGCTATCGGTCTGTAGTTCTTTGCTGTTGCTTTACTGCCCCCTTTGTGGAGTGGGGCTATGTCTGTTGTTTTTAGTAACTGTGGGACGACCCCCGTGTCCATGCTCCCTCTCCATAGGATGGAAAAGGCTCGTGATAGGGGCTTCTTGCAGTTCTTGATGAACACGGAGTTCCACGAGTCTGGCCCTGGGGCAAAGTGCATGGGCATGTCATTTATCGCCTGTTCGAAGTCATTTGGCGTCAGGATAACATCAGATAGGCTTGTGTTAACCAAATTTTGTGGCTCTCTCATAAAAAATTCATTTTGATCTTCGACTCTCAGTCTGGTTAGCGGCTTGCTAAAAACTGAGTCATATTGGGACTTGAGTAGCTCACTCATTTCCTTGCTGTCATCTGTGTAGGACCCATCTTGTTTAAGTAGGGGCCCAATACTGGACGTTGTTCTCGACTTTGGCATAGGAGAAGAAATACTTTGGGTTTCTTTCGATTTCATTTATAGCTTTTAGTTCTTCCTGTGATTCCTGACTCCTATAAGATTCCTTTAGCTTAAGTTCGATGCTTGCTATTTCTCTGACCAGTGTCTCCCTATGCATTTCAGATATATTGACCTCTTTTAGCCGCCTGTAAAGGGAGCGCCTGTCTCTTTCTATTTTACATCTACTCCTCCTTTTTCTTAGAGGAATAAGCCTTGTGCATACATCAAGTGCCACCAAGTTAATCTGTTCTAGGCATAAGTTGGGGTCTGTGTTGCTTAGTATATCTTCCCAGCTTATATCGGTTAGGACTTGGTTTACTTGGTCCCACTTTATGTTTTTGTTATTGAAGTTGAATTTGGTGAATGCTCCCTCATGACTAGTCTCATTATGTTGGTCTGGGGCTCCACGCATACATGTCTGAACCTCAATTATGTTGTGATCTGAGTATATTGTTTTTGATATGGTGACATTTCTTATCAGATCATCATTGTTAGTGAAGATGAGGTCTAGTGTATTCTCCAGTCTAGTAGGCTCTATTATTTGCTGGTTTAAATTGAATTTTGTGCAAAGATTTAAAAGCTTGCGTGCAGCCAGCAGCAACAGCCTGGTTGATCAGGCTCTGATCCACCAGGAGGCCTGGTCACAGACCGGGCCGTGGGGGCGTTGACCCCCGGAACTCTCTCCAGGTAAACTCCAGGTACTCCAGTGTGAGTTTTCATCAGAGCTGCCTCCTGGTGTTATTATTGCAACAATATTATTTGCTATATTCCTCCATTTTAGGTGCCTTAAGTTGAAATCCCCCAGGAACAAGATGTTGGGTGCAGGAGCTGGAAGATTTTCCAGACAGTGGTCAATTTTTAACAGCTGTTCCTGGAATTGCTGGGATGTTGCATCCGGAGGCTTGTAGATTACTACAATGACTAGGTTTTGGTTCTCGACCTTTACTGCTAAAACTTCCACTACATCATTTGAGGCATTAAACAGTTCTGTGCAAACAAGTGACTCTGCAATGTACAGGCCAACCCCCCCTTTTTGCCTGTTCACTCTGTCACATCTGTATAGGTTGTAACCTGGGATCCATATTTTGTTGTCCAAGTGATCCTTTATGTGGGTCTCAGTGAAAGCCGCGAACATTGCCTTTGCCTCTGTGGCTCGTACGTTGGTTTGCGTGCAGCCAGCAGTAACAGCCTGGTTGATCAGGCTCTGATCCACCAGGAGGCCTGGTCACAGACCGGGCTGCGGGGGCGTTGACCCCCCGGAACTCTCTCCAGGTAAACTCCAGGTATGTGTTTGGTTGACTGGAACAATGGAATTAGCCGAAAATGGGACTCAAAGTGGGCGAAATCGCAGATTTGTAAATATTGCCGAGGTTGCTAACTTTGCGAGAGCGCAATTCCGTTGGTTTTCCACCAAATTTAGATTTTTTGGTGTCATTACAATCTGGAAAAGATTCTCTATCATTTCATAAGATTTTTTTTTTTTTTTTTTTTTTTTGCAACATCAGCAGACACCTCAGGATTGGGGGCTGTGACAGTCAAAGGGTTAAAAACCATGTACGTGTACCCTATTCTTGAATGCGATGTAGAATTGAAACTGAACTAAAAGTATTCTATTGTAGATCCGATTTGCATGAATACTGCAAATTAATTGAGCTGTTGAAATTTGTCTTTGAAAATAATCTAGATGATGTTCTTAGTGAAATTATGAAACTGATAAAAATCATCTTGACAATTCCCATGACTACATCAGAGCCAGAATGCTGCTATTCAACACTGAAAAGAAGAAAAACTTCTCTAAGGATCACTATGAATCCTGAAAGACTGAATGCACTTGCAGTGCTTTCAATGGAGAAAATTTTCCTCAATAGTTATCAAGAGATCAGGGAGAAAATTATTAATCTTTTTGCACAAAGTAGAACAAGAAGAATGGATTTTGTTTTTAAATGAATGGATCAAGCTTGAACTGTAACAATTTAGGTAGGTAAAAAATATTTTTATGTTTGTGATTTTATCAAGCTTATGTACACATTTTCTTTTTATATGCTACACTGAGAGTAAAAGGTAGATGGGATACAAGGAGAATAGAAGCATCAGGGAAGAGAGAGGTGAAGGTTTATAAACTAAAAGAGGAGGCAGTTAGGGTAAGATATAAACAGCTATTGGAGGATAGATGGGCTAATGAGAGCATAGGCAATGGGGTCGAAGAGGTATGGGGTAGGTTTAAAAATGTAGTGTTAGAGTGTTCAGCAGAAGTTTGTGGTTACAGGAAAGTGGGTGCAGGAGGAAGAGGAGCGATTGGTGGAATGATGATGTAAGAGAGTAGTAAGGGAGAAAAAGTTAGCATATGAGAAGTTTTACAAAGTAGAAGTGATGCAAGGGGAAGAGTATATGGAGAAAAAGAGAGAAGTTAAGAGAGTGGTGAAGCAATGTAAAAGGAGAGCAAATGGAGTTGGGTGAGATGTTATCAACAAATTTGTTGAAAATAAGAAAAAGTTTTGAGTGGATTAACAAGTTAAGAAAGCTAGAGAACAATGGATTTGTCAGTTAAAAATAGGAGAGGAGAGTTATTAAATGGAGAGTTAGAGGTATTGGGAAGATGGAAGAATATTTTGAGGAATTGTTAAATGTTGAGAAGATAGGGAAGCTGTGATTTCGTGTATAGGGCAAGGAGGAATAACATCTTGTAGGAGTGAGGAAGAGCCAGTTGTGAGTGTGGTGGAAGTTCGTGAGGCAGTAGGTAAAAATGAAAGGGGTTAAGCAGCCGGGATTGATGGATAAAGATGAAATGTTAAAAGCAGTGGGGATATAGTTTTGGATGATTGTGCAATTATTTAATAAATGTATGGAATAGGGTAAGGTACCTAGGGATTGGCAGAGAGCATGCATAGTTCCTTTGTATAAAGGCAAAGGGATAAAAAGAGAGTGCAAAAATTATAGGGGGATAAGTCTGTTGAGTTCCTCCATGGGGAAGTGGAACAGAATTCTTCCTTACGTAAGCATGCGTGTCGTTAAGAGGCGACTAAATGCCAGGAGCAGGGACAGTACCCCTTCTCCTGTATATATTACTAAATGTAAAAGGAAAGCTTTCGTTTTTCCTTTGGGCCACCCGCCTCGGTGGATACGGCGGTGTGTTAAAAAAAAAAAAAAAGTCTGTTGAGTGTACCTGGTAAAGTGTATGGTTAGAGTTATAATTGAAAGATTAAGAGTAAGACGGAGAATAGGATAGCAATGAACAAGGAGGCTTTAGGAAGGTAGGGGGTGTGTGACCAGGTGTTTACAAGTGAAACATATAAGTGAACAGTATTTAGATAAGGCTAAAGAGGTCTTTGTGGCATTTATGGATTTGGAAAAGCGTTATGACAGGTGGATAGGGGGGCAATGTGGCAGATGTTGCAAGTGTATGTGTAGAGGTAGGTTACTGAAAGCATGAAGAGTTTTTACGAGGATAGTGAGGCTCAAGTTAGAGTATGTAGGAAAGAAGGAAATTTTTTCCCAGTAAAAGTAGGCCCTTTGACAAGGATGTGTGATTTCACCTGGTTGTTTAAATATTTATAGATGGGGGTTTTAAGAGAAGTAAATGCGAGGGTCTTGGCAAGAGGGGTTTTGGGGTTAAAAGATAAAGAATCACACACAAAGTGGGAGTTGTCACAGCTGCTCTTTGCTGATGAAAACTGTGCTCTTGGGAGTTTTTTGAAGAGAATTTTCAGAGATTGGTGGATGAATTTGGTTTGGGTGTGCAAAAGAAGAAAATTAAAGGTGAATACAGGAAAGGTAAGGGTTTTGAGGATAACAAAAAGATTAGGTGATGAAAGATTGAATATCATTGGAGGGAGAGTATGGGAGGTGAACGTATTCAGATATTTGGGAGTGGACGTGTCAGCGGATTGGGGCTATGAAAGAGAGGTGATCATAGAATTGATGAGGAAAAAGATGTGAGTGGTTTCACTTAGGAGTCTGTGGAGACAAAGAACTTTGTCCTTGGAGGCAAAAGGGGAATGTATGAGAGTATTTGTTTTTTCCAACGCTCTTTATGGGTGTGAAGCGTGGGTGATGAATGTTGCAGCGAGGAGAAGGCTGGAGGCAGTGGAGATGTCAAGTCTGAGGGCATGTGTGGTGTGAATATAAATGCAGAGAATTCGTGTTTGGAAGTTAGGAGGAGGTGCGGGATTACCAAAAAATGTTGTCCAGAGGGCTGAGGAAGGGTTGTTGAGGTGGTTCGGACAGTAGAGAGAATGGAGCGAAACAGAATGACTTCAAGAGTGTATCAGTCTGTAGTGGAAGGAAGGCGGGGGAGGGGTCGGCCTTGGAAGGGTTGGAGGGAGGGGGTTTAAAAGGGGGTTTTGTGTGCGAGGGGCTTGGACTTTCCCGCAGGCATGCGTGAGCGTGTTTGATAGGAGTGAATGGAGACAAATGGTTTTAATACTTGACGTGCTGTTTGGAGTGTGAGCAAAGTAACATTTATGAAGGGATTCAGGGAAACCGGCAGGCCGGACTTGAGTCCTGGAGATGGGAAGTACAGTGCCTGCACTCTGAAGGAGGGGTGTTAATGTTGCAGTTTAAAAACTGTAGTGTAAAGCACCCTTCTGGCAAGACAGTGATGGAGTGAATGATGGTGAAAGTTTTTCTTTTTCGGGCCACCCTGCCTTGGTGGGAATCGGCCGGTGTGATAATAAAAAAAATAATAAAAATAATGCTTGTTTTGTTTTACACAATATTAAAACAATGGCTAAAAATTTTCTGAAGCAGCTCCTCTACTAATATTAGCTAAGAGCCACTAGTGGTCCCCCTTATTATCTTTGTATACACATATGTGCAATGTTCATTATGTCTGCTATGTTCTATTAGTGTTAAGTTTTAGCTTGCCCAAATTGCTCTGCTTTCCATTTGAAATATTAAATGGTATCCATTTTTTGTACAAACTATGTATCACATGGAAATAAAGAATCTGAATCTCAACAATTTCTATAACTCCATCGCAATAGCTTAATACAATTTACATACAAAAATTTTCAGACTTAAAGCCAAATTGATTGTTAGTCAAGCGTGTTTTTTTTTTTTTTTTAATTTAGTATGTATTCATTTGTATTTTCTTTTTACAAATTTCACTAAAACTTTTTGGAAGAAATTAGCTTCTGTACTCACCTGCTTCATGACATCATACTGCTTGTTGTATCTTGTATATTCTTCCTCAGACAAACTGCTGCGATTATCAGCAAGCCAGTCAGGGTACTGTCATGAAAAAAATAAGTACTGTATGTACTGTACTTAAAACTCTGCACTTTACTCACAATTATGATGCCCCTCCAGTACAAACATGATGCCCCTACAGTACAAATGCGATGCCCCTCCTATATTTCTTAAAATAACTCAAATTACTTGTAACTGCACTGTCAAATTCATTATTTTTTCTTCAATTTCCTTGAAATAATTAATATCAGGACCTAAACAAGTGCACTTTTGCTAGTTTTCACTTAACTAATTACAAGTATAATACACTTTAACATTATAAAACTTACACTGATGTTCAAATAGCATGCATTCAATTAACATACTTTCTCTCCATTATGACCCTGACCACCTAGGCAAATTTAAAAATATTATGCTATATAACTTACCTTTACTATGTGGCTAATCCTGTATGCCTACAGGGCAAGGCCAACTGGTTTATACCTTTGAAAAATACTTTTAAAATTTCCAGTGCATGTCTCACCGCAATACAGTACACCATAAGCAGGGACAATGGAGGAAATTTTTTAAAATTAATTTTGAATACGGCAAGCCAAGGATATATATTTAAAGTCAAAGTATGTGGATGAGGTCAAGTGACAACCAAAACTCGATAGAATTTAACCAGGCCTGACCTTATCAGTGATTTCCTTTAGAGGTGAATATAAAACTTCTTTGGAGAGCATGTTTTCTAGCATGACTTGCATCAGAGGAAAGAGACCACCTAGAGCCCCTTCACCTTCTTCACCTGTCATGCCAAGGTTTTCAAACATCTTATTGAGATCATCTGCTGTTGGTGGATTCTGAAAGGTAAAATTTATATTTATACAAAATTTGAAATTGCCTCGACTATTGATTGAAAAAGCCTGTTTACATTATTATTATTATTTTTTTTATTAACACATTGGCCGAGTCCCACCAAGGCTGGGTGGCCTGAAAAAGAAAAACTTTCATCATTTCCTGCATCACTGTCTTGCCAGAGGGGTGCTTTAAACTAGTTATAAAACTGCAACATTAACACCCCTCCTTCAGAGTGTAGACACTGTACTCCCAATCTCCAGGACTCAAGTCCAGCCTGCCAGTTTCCCTGAATCCCTTCATAAATGTTACTTTGCTCACACTCCAACAGCACGTCAAATATTAAAAACCATTTGTCTCCATCCATTCCTATCAAATATGCTCATGCACACTTGCTGGAAGTCCAAGCCCCTCGCACACAAAACCTCCTTTACCCCCTCCCTCCAACCCTTCCTAGGTCAACCCCTACCCCGCCTTCCCTCCACTACAGATTTATACACTCTCGAAGTCATTATGTTTTGTTCCATTCTCTCTACATGTTCGAACCACCTCAACCCCTCCTCTGGATAATAGTTTTGGTAATCCCACACCCTCTCCTAATTTCCAAACTATGAATTCTCTGCATTATATTCATACCACACATTGCCCTCAGACATGACATCTCCACTGCCTCCAGCCTTCTCCTCGTTGCAACATTCATCATCCATGCTTCACACCCACACGAGTGCTGGTACCACTATACTCATACATTCCCCTTTTTGCTTCCAACACATAAACATTGCACCAACTCTTCATCCCACACCTGCTCTCCTGACACTATATATTCTACTGCACACAATGATGCTTCATTCTTAAATGCACACTGCAGTTTTTTTTTCACATCCTCTATTGCCAATTTCATTATTTCAATTTTATAAATAGCAGTCAACTTCTGGAATTCTCTGAATACACTACAGGGTAAGGTGTCATAAATGAATGGAAGATACAGTATAGTAAACTGAATGCCACATACAGGCAACCCCCAATTTATGACCGCCCAACTTAACCTATATTTTTTCTGGAAAGACAGCTTTAAAACAACTAACTTTATGGCATGAAACTAGTACTAGGAACAGATATCCTATTTTGAACATTGCCTCTATGGAAAATAACATTGCCACGGCATGACTGGAGCCAGTTAGGTTTAAAGTGCTATAAAATTTATAGTAAAGGTCCTAATAAAATTATAGTATAAAAGTAAGATTGTGTATGATACCTGAATTTTATTTTATTTAGAGAACAAGTGCTAAACCCCTAGAGCTCATACAACTGGATAATACCTTAAGTTTTTCATTATTTTGGCTAAGTTGCTTGACAGTTTCATCAATGCATTGCATAAAGTCAGCAGCAGGCTGAGCTCCAGATGTAGATTTGTTAGCAGCTTCAGCAAACAGGGCAAACTGTGCAGCCATGGCAGATAAGTCAATCTGTGGTGCTGCCTCAGCCAAATCTCCCTTAGCACCTTCTCCAGCAGGTTTCTGCGCTTCTCCACCTGGAAAATATTTGACATTATAAAATAATAAGTAATAATAATTAATCACCCTGCCTTGGTGGGAGACAGCCGACTTGTTGAAAAAAAAAATAATAATTAATCCAAGGTAGTAGGTTGGTAGACAGCATCCACCCAGGGAGGTACTACCATCCTGCCAAGCGAGTGTAAAATGCAAGCCTGTAATTGTTTTCCATGATAGTAGGATTGCTGGTGTCTCAAACATGCAAGGTTTCAGGTACATCTTGCTACTTCTTCTTACACTTAGGTCACACTACACATGTATGTACAAGCATATATATACACACCCCTCTGGGTTTTCTTTTATTTTTCTTACTAGTTCTTGTCTTTGTATATTTCCTCTTATCTCCATGGGGAAATGGAACAGAATTCTTCCTCCGTAAGCTGTGTGTGTCATAAGAGGGGTTACTAGCAAGAAGCTAATAACCCCTTCTCCTATATATATATATATATATATATATATATATATTTATATATATATTTACTCAAGTTAAAGAGAGAAACTTTAGTTTTCCTTTTTGGGCTACCCTGCCTCAGTGGGATATGGCCAGTTTGTGGGAGACAGCCGACTTGTTAAAAAAAAAAAAAAAGAATTTATTTATATACTATTTTAACAGACTGCCTGTCTCCGAGGTATAGGGTGACCTAAAAAAAAAAATTCACTATCATTCACACTATCACTGTCTTGCTAGAGGCATGCAGATAAGACAGTTCAGATGACCCTCCAAAGAGCAAATATCCCCACCCCTTCTTTAGAATGCAGGAACTGTATTTCCCCACCTCCAATACTCAAGTCTGGTAACTGGTTTTCCCTGAATCCCTTCAAGATAAATTACCCTACTCAAACTCCAGCAGCTTCTTAGACCCCAAAAACCATTTGCCTCCACTCACTCCTATCTAACATGCTTACATATGCTTGCTGGATGTTCAAGCCCCCTTGCACACAAAACCTTTACCTTCCTCCCTCCATCCTATCTAGGGCAACCCCTACTTCACCTTCCTTCCACTACAGATTTATACACCCTCTAAGTCATCTTATTTTGCTCTGTCCTCTCTAAATGTCCAAAGCACCTCAACAACCCCTAGTGCTGAAGACAGTTCAGTCAATGCCAGTATTGACTTCCTTGCAAGAAACTGGAATTTGCAGCGTTTACTCAAAAAATTTCTGAACAAACATTTAATGAACCTGTTAATAAAACTACATATTGCAGTCATTTTCAAGAGATTCACGTTCCAAATTTAGGCAGTGATGTGTATCAAGAATTCAAACTAAATTTATCATTTTAATGCTAAGTGTAACTTTTATGGAGAGAATTTCTGGGTAGAGAGAATGCATATTCAGAACCTTGGCATCATGCAGACTGGGTAACATATTTAGTAAAAACACAGGATAAAATGGACAGTTAAAACAAAGAAAATACTGATGTGAACAAGGGTTAGATTAAAGGGCAGGCCAGCTAGGCAGCTCGTTAGTGCTGTTGTATAAGGGACCCCAAAAATATTGAAAGCCTGAAAAAGGTACTTTTAAGATAAACTACTGAAAATTCTATGTGCTGTAGCAGTAATTTAAAATGATATGCGACAAAGTAAAAGGTACACAACTTATCGTTATTAGGCTTAACAGAAATTTAGTTTTATCTTACTCCACTTTAGAAGTGTTGAACAAATTTTAAAAAATATCAGTACAGGTAGGTAAATAACCCTGCTTGGGAAGCCCAAATTTCTTGATTTGGTACTGATGAGAACCTTCATCCTTAGTGATTATCTTCAAGGTAGATCTCTAAGCAGTTTTTTCAATGGGACAGTCAACAAGACACCATTGGTGCAAGTTTTCCATAGGAAAGAGTGCCTGGACCATTGTTATGTTATGTCTACTTCAATGATCTTCAAGTCATCCCAGAATCCCATGCATATACAGATGACTGTACCTTGACATATGCTTATCCAAGAGAGGAAATGCCAGCTGTTCTCAGTTACATCAATCACCAGCTTACCAGCTTTCCAGCTATATCAGCCTGGGGAAAGCAATGACAGGTTACATTTGCTCCTGAGAAAACTCAAACAATGATGGTCTTTAGGCACAATGAGAGCACTGGAACCCAAGGACGAGGCTGATGTCCTTGGGGTGAAATTTGATTCCAAACTGACTATGAAGAACCACATTGTAAATTTTGCAAACAAACCAGTCAGGAAGCTTGCAGCACTTAGGTGTATATTGCATCTGCTCAACAAAATGAACAGAATTATGACTGGACCCACTCAAATGTTATACAAATGGGTGTAGAAAAAATGGAATGTACATAAAATGAATGGGTATTTGGATATTCCCAGTGTTTTACAAATGGGCAGAAAATCTTTTCTATGAAAAGAAATGCTCTCTTAACCCTTTCAGGGTCCGTCCCATAGATCTACGGCTTTACGTTCAGGGTCCAAACCGTAGATCTACCTCATGAGCTCAGCTCACTCTGATAAACTGTGAGTGGTACATTTGGGCCTAGATATGAGAATACATCTATGTGGTATGTGTGCACCACATAAAACAGATCCTGCAGCATACTGTGTATAATGAGAGGAAAAAAAACTGAAATCATGATTTTTCGATTAAAACAGCGACTTTGCAGTGTTTTTTCGTATGTTTTTATAGTTGTATTTGCGATTTCTTGGTCTCATTTGATAGAATGGAAGACATATTACAGAAATAGAGATGATTTTGATTGGTTTTAGCACTGGAAATGGCTTGAAACTGAGCTCAAAGTAGAGGAAATGTTAAATTTTTGCTGATATTCAAGAGTAAACAAACGAGCTGGTGGGTCTAATATACATTCACAATATGGTGATGATATTTATACAATTATTACAGTATTGCATAACAGTAAGTCTTCTATTTTTTGGGGTGAATAAAAATTCATTATGTGAATAAAAAATCAAAATGGAATTTATTTGTAAAGCCTCAAAACGTAAGTAATGAACAGAGGAAATGTTAGTTTAGTTCCAGGAATACCTACATTGTTTATTCTGGACCCCATTTTGAAATTGGAATATTTTGAACTCTGTGTTAAATTGGCCAAATTAACAATTTCCGATCACTTTATTTTGTAGTTGAAACAGTTGACTTGGCGATTTCTTGTGCTCAATCGATAGCATAGAAGTAATATTAGTGAAATAGCTAAGAATTTGGTTGACTGGAATAATGTAATTGGCCTAAACTGGGAGTTAAAGTCAGCAAAAATTGCCGATTCGTAAATATTGCTGACACATCAAAATTCGCGAGAGCATAATTTCGTCAATTTTCCATCAAATTTCGTACTTTTTGTTTTATTACCTTCACAAAAAGATTCTCTACCATTTCATAAGAAAAAATAAATTTTTTTTTTTTTTTAAATTCTTGGACACTGGGGCACCACTTCAGATTTGGGCCTTGGACCCTGAAGGGGTTAAGGATATGATAACAGACCACTTGTATAAATGGTCCATACTTTTTTTGAGGGAAGTGTTGATCACAATTAAGTAATAACTGCAAGTAGATTTTGATATAAACTAGCCAAAGAAGCTCAAAACCAGAAAGTCAGATTTATTAACAAGCCACCACTTACTTCCTTGTTGTTGTTCCATTAATGCACGCATAGTTTGCTCAAATTGTGTTGTGGCCTGCTGGATGAATTCTTCTGACCAAATGTTGCCAGCTGCTCCATCCGGCCCCGCTGATGTAGCCGCTCCTATTCCCAAAGCTGCTACTTTTGAAGCCAAATCTTCGCCAGGAGCTGGTTTGAGGGGCTGTGGCTTATTGAAGTCTAGCAAAGCATCTGTTAAATTAAACACAATTTCTTTAGAATACCCTTTGAGTATATATTGTAATTCAGTATGTAGAAATACACTGAAGTGCACTGCATGAAAAGAAATAAATGATTTGCATTTGTACTTTTATAGGAGTATTATAATAAATGAAAGATGGTACATATATATGAGGATTATCCTACCAAGAAAAGGAATGAGAAAAAAGGGGTAATACCAGATAACCTTTGAACAAGGAAAATACTAGCTGCTACAATTTAAATTATAAATTAATACACAGTCAGCAGTTTTGCAACTGAAAAAACTGGGATACTGTAACAATTTATCGTAACTACAACAACTGAAACTAACCATCCAATAAATTCTCAAGCTCTGGGTCAGGGACTTCTTCAGTGACCTTTTTTGCTTGTTGATCCTCCTCAGACATCTTGTTATTTGAACCTTTTTTTTTTTTTTTTTTGGTAGTTTCTGCAAAGAAATTTATATTGAGGCTAAAAATGGACAAAAATGCATAAATACCAGAATGCAATATAACAAAGGTACATGCCCCTATACTGTATATCAAAATACAGAGTACAAATTAAATTGTCTTTAAAGGTTCACCTAGCACTAGGTGAATGAAAAATAAAGTTCAGTTTCAATCAAGGAAAAGTTTAGCAATAATGAACTTCAATACTAATTACAAAATTTTTTTTTGTTATAAATGATTACACATTTAAAATGTGTCTTAACAATATATAGACTACAATCAGGAAGAATTTGTCAGGCTAGAATTCAACAAAATCTATTTCATATTTGCTTAGGATTATTATTACATTCATGGGGAGTTTTTATTCAGGTTCAACACACAAGTAAAATTTTTTACAATCATCTTGTATAGTAACTCATGTGCAAATTAATGCAGGATAACCAAATGAAGTCAAATGATTACTTTTTCCCTATTGGGGTCTGACAGTTCCTGGAAGCAAGTGCCCCTTACCAGCATCAAGACACCCGTTGAAGGGCGTTCCCTTATGAAAGATTCAATAGGCTTTAGCCTATCAAGATAATTAAAGTGGTTTGCTTGGAAATATCAGTTATATTGCAAAATGATAATTAGATCAGACTGTTTAATGATCTACAGGTATGCCATGGTAACTGGGAATATTTCTGTTTTGGAATACAATTAAAGTTGAATACTGAAATTATTTATTGATGAATTAGACACGTGCAACACCACAGTATCTTTAGTTTAAAGATGGTTTATCAGCCAGTGACTTTTTCAGTTCAATGCAGAAATTATGTACTGTACACAGCAGATAAGGTAATCAGTCCCTCAGCTTTGAAGATGGTATTCAGTACTTTTGTCTTAATGAATCTAAAGGATTGGTCCTCACTTCCAAACTTGCCAATATCAATGCCTCCAGCACTGACAGATAATAGGGTTGATTCCACTACTAGACATGATACTGTCAAGTCAGCTTACAATATCAGACATACCAGCCCAAGAAAATACACCCTCTGCCTCCTCTTCCTATCTCAAAAGAAAAAAGCCCTATCCATAAACTTGATCTGGGAATCCTCAACAAGAACAACATTCTTACCTTTAGTGATGAATTTTGATGTGTGATTTTTTTTATCTTACCGTCATCCCTTTCCATTGCTACAATGGTCATCCCACATTTGTCCTGGACAATTGCAAAGGAATAAGTAGTTTCCACTTCTCGATCCTTCCTTTTTAATCTTGAGCTCTGTTCCTTTCCTTTCTGCCGCTGAGGAGCTTCCTGGGTTATTCCTCTGGTTTACTCACAGTATTGTTACTTATCCTTATGTCGGTGGCAATGCCAAGGGAGCCTGAAGCATCTCCCTTCATCTTTCCCAGCCTCCCAATACCCATAAATAAAATAACTCAGCTTTAAGATGCGTTTCATAACCTCCCTTCCATCCAGACTGCCTCTCTTAAGCCCCTCCTATATATAAATTATGGAGCTGCCCCTGCCTCTTGTTCTCCTCAGTCAGTTGCCATGTCTCTCACCTAGCTACTCCTCCACCTGTTGTAAAGTTATTTAGCGTATATCTATTATGCACTCCATACCCATTCTGTGGGCAGTAGTCAAAAGATTACAGGGGCACATAATGGGTCCAGAGACCAAGTCCTAGTTTTGATAGCTAACAAAATTAATGGTAATGAACTATTTACAATTGCAATGAGTTTTTTATAGACATCAATTCAGTCACAAATATACCAATGTAGCTTATATGTGGTTTCAAATTATTCATAATGCCTTATATTTTAGCAAGTTTTGGTTGAATTTAAACAAATTTAAGGGGTTATGAGTTATTTACAACAGACAGTCAGGGTATGAATACATGCTAGTAAAACTATCCCAGAAGAGATGCATTATTTTCCACTCACAGGAAACTCAATAGGCACATCCTCACACAACACAGGTCTCCTCACCACCCAACTGATTTCAATGATAAAATAGGGTTTAAAATGTAAAAAAAAAACCCGAGTACGTTTTTACATTGAGACAGTAATATGTTGTGCAAATAGTAAGAAATGTAAGATTAAGATTTCTTTGGCTTTTTAACCTGGAAGGTTAGCCACCCAGGATAACCAAAGAAAGTAACCAACCTTAATGCAACCCACCTAAACCAACCTAGAGTATACTAATGTAACTTAACCTAACTTAGCAAATTGGTGTTCATTAATGTTCATGGTGACTAGCCATTACCAGTGTTGATCGACTCAGTTGTGCTGATCATGGCAAACAAAAAAATCGATATTTCACAAAATAACTGTATAATAGCTATTTATTCCACGTAGATAAGTAAGTTCATTTATGCACAGGCACACATATGTACAATTATCATAGTCATATGTGTAAATTACCTAGGATAAACTCTCCCCTCCTCCCGATTATTATTATTATAATCAAAATGAAGGGCTAAGTCACAAGGACTATACAGCAGGCATCCTCCCGAAAAAAAAAGTTAGTTACTTACTGATACAAAAATGTTATTAATTAGCTTGTTAGGTATTATGTCCTAATAACTGCAGGCGGGTTATTAAGGCCGTAATATACCTATACAATGACATCATCAATACTTCAATAAGTACGTGTATTTTGATACAATTTTGGATTAAAACTGTCTTACATAGCAACAATTTGTAAATTACCTAAGATAAATGAAAGAAAAATATCAGTGTATATACACAGAGATAAACACCCCAGGGTGTATATACCCCGTTGATAAGGGGTAGAGTTGTGATATAAGTATTCCTGAATTGTCACTAAAGTAATATATATATTCGTGAATTGTCACAATAGTTGACTAAATATAGACTTGTTACCAGTAAGAATGAGAGTGTTTACTGAGAAACCCTCGCTTATACTACTTCCCACTACCTCTACCACAGAAAACCTTACTTTACTCACAATAAACTAAGCTAAAGATTAATAAAAAATATAATATAATAATAATAATAATAATAATAATAATAATATATAATAATAATAATAATAATAATAATAAAATAATAATAATAATAATAATAATAATAATAATATCTTTATTTACTACAAGTACATGTACAAGGTATACAGTCGTAGCTGACATCAATTTATTTATTTATTTATTTGTTAATTTGAACATGATACAGAGAAGTACAAAATAATACAGTTAATACTACTATATAGAAAGCCACTTGTTATGGTGAATATTTCGGGCAAATTAGGTCAGTGTCCCAGGATGCGACCCACACCAGTCCACTAACACCCAGGTACCCATTTTACTGATGGTTGAATATAGACAACCGGTGTAAAGAAACACGCCCAATGTTTCTACCCTGGCTGGGAATCGAACCCAGACCCTCGCCGTGTGAAGCGAGAGCTTCAGCCACAATGTTTGTATAGAGGTTGGTGACATTTAGGTGTGCATGCAAAAAGTCCCTTAGTATGAATAGTATTTCGGGCAAACTTAACGGGGGCCTGAGTTTCCGTCTTCTAATAACATGTTCATTTTCCACTATAATCTACCTGTTCCATAATTACTATTTCATTTGCTTTGTCCTGCTTTCGTAAAATGAAGTCTAGAATCTTTCCTTAATTCAGCTCACACACTGAGGCCCGGGGGTTCGAATCCCCGGTACGGCTGGAAAACATTAGGACATGTTTCCATAAAACACCTGTTGTCCATGTTCACCCATCAGTATAAAATAGGTACCTGGGTGTTAGTGGACTGGTGTGGGTCGCATCCTGGGACAAAACTGACCTAATTGTCCGAAATGTTCACCATAACAAGCGGCTTTCTATATAGTAGTGTCATTTGTAACTTGGTCATGATTATGCCAGATCTGAGTTCATTACCTTCGTAACTTGTTCAGCTATCATAACTTTGGTGTTCAGTCCCTGGACCCATTATGTACCTCTGTAATCTTTTGGCTACCACCCACAGGATGGGTATGTGGTGACTAGCGCCCACAGGATGGGTGTGTGGTGACTACCACCCACAGGATGGGTGTGTGGTGACTAGCGCCCACAGGATGGGTATGTGGTGACTACCACCCACAGGATGGGTGTGTGGTGACTAGCGCCCACAGGATGGGTATGTGGTGACTACCACCCACAGGATGGGTATGTGGTGACTACCACCCACAGGATGGGTGTGGAAGTGAACGCCAGTCAGCCTATCATCCAGCCTGTCTCCTGTCATCCAACTGCTCCTCCGTGCTTTGTGCATCGTTACACGTCTTCCAGTCAGCCATTCTCGTGGGGTAAGCCAGTCAGCCAACCCAGCTTCTAACCCAGCTGCGAGAGAGAAGTAAGCCACGCAGTAAGAAGTAAGCCAAGTTCCTCTGAGGTATTGTCTATATCGCTTTGTGCTCCCTGTTGGATGCTAAGAGTGGTTTTCACCATTCCTGTGGCATAGAGTGGGTTAAGCCACCTTCGTGGGTAGAGAGTGGAGTCCGCGCCAGTGAGCGCCAGCAGAGTCACACCCACCACCCCCCCTCTACTCACACCACCCCACCACCACCATTCTCTCCCACCACCAGACACCTCATCTACCTGTGGTTGTTTGCACCCTTGTACCGGGTCCTAGTACTGTTTTGGCTCACATAATTGGTCAAGAGATTGTAGCTGGCGCCAACGAAAACCCAATTATGTGAGTTCTTCGAGAGCGCGCATTTCTTCCGACAACAGTGAATGTAGGAGGCGTCAGTATCACCGCGCGGGACACCCTACCCCCCCCCACCCTATCACCA